CACATAATCAGTAAGAGCATGACTTTGAGGGAATAAGTGAATGACACAGTTGATAAAAGCAGGAGGGCAAAGCAGGCAGGCAGGCAAGCGTGATTCAAGCAGCCACGTATGAGTAGGCTCACACAGAAGTGCTGGGAACTGGACTACCTGACTGTTTAGCTTGATTTTCTTGGGAAAGGTAGTAAAAAACTAACTTAACCTTATCAGCATGTAACACCAAGCACATCTCATGTGACCTGTATGATTTGCACATCTGCTTTTACAATTCTACCCTGTGAACCAATCTTATTACTGTCCTGGACTAGAACCGGAACTCATCTTTGAAGCACCCGACACCTGTCCTTGCCCTCACTGGTCGCACAGGAATGCAGGCAGGCAGAACAGCGTTAGGGCAACCCAGACGCCCCGAAGCAGCCCGCAGAGCCCTGCCCAAGCCACCGCCATCTGGCTGCAGCCGCTTCAGGAAGCGCTACCCGAAGGGCGTGTGGTGGCGGCCGTCGCTTCCAGGCACCAGAGCGGCGAGAGCTGCCTGTGCTTTTCGCCGCAGGCTTCTCAGAAGCCGCCGCCGGACACGGCGAACACCGCCCCATCCCAGCCACCACATGCGAGGCCGCGCTCCCCGCGAGCCGCCTCAGCCACAGCCAGGCCGCACCACAGCGCGCCCCGAGGCGGGGGGAGCCCTTTCATTCCCCCCCCCAGGTCTTCCGGCTCCCGCTGGCTCCGCCCCTGCTGGTCCCCGGCGGCCGCACGCGTCCCCCACCCCCAACGCGCCTCAGCCCCAGAGCCCCCACTGCCGAGCCGCGGCCTCCCGCGCCCGCACCTTGGCCCGATTGGAGGGCGCTGATGGCAGTCAGCGCCACCCCCGCCAATCGCAATGCGGCGGCAGAGCCTGCCCCAGACCGCGAAGCCAATGAGCGCCCGCCCAGTTCAGGAGCGGGAGAAGGCGGAAGGCCTAGACCTCGCCAGCGTCCTCCGGGCACGGGCGCCCCGAGAGCCGAGCGAGAGACCGCCCTCGGCCATGAGTGTTCCACGCAGCGCCCCGGGGAGGGCACCCGGCCGCTGCCGGCCGGAGCCATACGCTCCGCGGCACCGCCGCCTCTGTAGCCCCTATTACGTCATCAAAGCGCGCATTAAATCGATCCCTTTTCGATTCCCGGCCCGCCTGCGCGGCGCCCCGCGGCGAGAGAAGGTGGTCCGGAGGGGTACTCACCGCCAGCAGGGCCACCCCGCCGAGCCCGCTCCGCCGCGACCTCTTCCTGCTCCCCGGAACGCTGCAGAACGGCGCGGGCGCCGGCCAATCGCGACTCGCATTCCCGGCCTGCACCGCGCGGGGGAAGTGACGACGGCATTAACCTTTCACATGCGGCGGGGCGGGGCGGGGCTGGGCTGGGCTGCTGGGTGTGGGGTGCTCTGGGAGCTGTAGTCACAGCACCGGGAGGGGGCGGCCCTCGGTGTTAGCGGGGATGCCGAGAGGACTGCGGGGCGGGCGGGGATCAGGATGCGGGGAGCAGTGGCAGTGGCTGTCCTGCCGTGCCCCAAGGGTGGTGTGGGTGGTGTGGCGGCGGGAGGGAGGCTGCGGCTGTCCCAAACATGGCCGGGCACAGCTGGTGCGGGGCGGCGGCGTCAGTTAAATCATCACCGAGATAAGATTGATCGCCGCTGTTATTGCCAAGCATCGGGTGGACGCGTTCGACGGCTTTAGAAATGAAGTGACATGGCCGGGCAAATAACCGCGCGGTTCGGCCGCCCATACAGCCGGCACAGTCCGGGAGGCCCCCCTATCTGGTTCTGTCTGCGCAGTCTGAAGCGGGTGTTGTGCGAGGGCTGTATCCCGTAAGCCAGTCTGCCGGCACAGCCCCGCACAGACCGGGCTCGGCGTTTGGGGATTCTCTTCAGCTCCACCCTCCGGACCAGCCCTCCCTGTTGCACAACCACTTTTCCATGCAAGACGTGCACACTGTATTATTTTTCTTTTACAGTTTAAGTTAAGAGTTGTTAGAGTTGCGGGAGTTTTGCGAGAAGCAAGCAGTTGGCTTTGGTGATCCTCACCGGTCGCTTCCAACTTGAGATACTCTGCTTCCATGCTTATATGAAGTGTCAAAAGCTGCACTGAAGTACTGCCCAGCAAGGCTGCTGGTCCTTTCCGTGCTGCTCCTTTCCAGCTCTGTCCTATTAACTCCAAGAATCCACAGCTGAAGATGAAAACAGCCAGCCTGCACCTAATGGCTCCTGCAGAGCTGCTGGGATACTTGCCACAGAATCATAGCATGGTTTGGGTTGGAAAGGACCTTAAAGTTCATCTGGTTCCAACCCCCTGCCATGGGCAGGGACACCTTCCTGTAGACCAGGTTGCTCCAAGCACCATCCAGCCTGGCCTTGAACGCTGCCAAGAATGCGGCAGCCACAGCTTCTCTGGGCAACCTGTGCCAGTGCCTCAGCACCCTCACATGGAAGAAATTTTTTCTAATGTCCAATCTAAATCTCTTTCAGTTTAAAGCCATTCTGCCTTGTCCTGTCAAAAGCCCCTCTCCAGATTTCTTGTTTGCCCCTTTAGGCACTGGAGCTGCTCTAAGGTCTCCTCTTAAGGCACCTTCTCTTTTCCAGGCTGAACAACCCACCTCTCTCTGCCTGTCAACAGAGCAGAGCTGCTCCAGCCCTTGCGGCGTTTCTGTGGCCTCCTCTGGATTCACTCCAGCTCCCTCTTTGTGTTGTTGCCCCAGAGCTGAAAGCACTGCTGCAGGTGGGGTCTCACAAGAGCAGAGTAGAGGGAGAATCACCTCCCTCAACCTGCTGGTCATGCTGGTTTTGATACAGCCCAGCAGCGCTTTGCTTCCTGAGCTGCAAGTGCTTCATGTGTTGTCACCAGTTTAAAATGTATTTGTCCCAATAAACCAGCATAATAATAGAACTTGTCAAAACAGACACAATGGTCATCAATTTGATCTGTCATCAATTCTGTGTCAGTCATGTGATTGGGAGAAAACTCCAGGAACAAACTCGCCAACAGAGTTTCAAGTTGACAAGCAGGTGCTCTTTATTGCGGCACCGGGAGACACGGGGGATAGCTCCTTTTAACGTGTGTTCCCGTATTGCCATGCATGCTATCTTTATATGGTCACTGGGCATATTACATCGTTTTCCAGAAAGTTTCCGGCATGCATACAAAAATGTGATGGTGGTCTTTAAGGGTCGTTTACTTTCCCCAACAAGCTTAATTAACATTACAGACATAGCAATCACCCTGTCCTTCTACTTATCAGTTAGTTTAACTGCTCCCATCCTGGACATCAGCTACTCCTGGATACTGCCCAGTAGATGTTTACACCAGCTTAATGGCTTTATTAACACCACCAACATGGCAATCATCCTGTCCTTCTACTTATCAGTTAGTTTATCTGTGCCCACCCTGGACATCTGCTAGTCCCAGACACTCCCCATCCCCAGGTCTTGTTTTTCTATTCTGCTTTTCTCACATCTTTTGTACTAAGGTCCTAAGGACCTGAAACTATGTCAACTACCTTCAAGCACCGCAGTTATTTCCCATTACAAAGCCATCATAATTAACATTGTGTAGAACTGATTACCTTTTGTGCTTTTGTGCCCCCTTGTCTCACATGTCCACTGAAGAGCTGCTGCACACAGTGGATACATGTCTTACAAACTTGCCCACCTAATTCCTGTGAATTAACCTGTTTGTGAACTTCTCTCTTGTTCCTATGCCAGATCTACATGATTTCTGTTGCCAAGTTTATCCACCACTAAGAAGTTAAGGCAGCTGTGCAGCACAGAAATCCTACAGCATCAAACAAAACATAAATAATAGACATTCAAGTTAAACTAATTTTCATACACTCTTTAATACATAAACTTCTAAGGCTGCAGTGTTTTATAACAGTAGTACAAGAAAGTTTTATCAATAATTATGTTTTTTAATGCATTATAAAGAAGTTTGAAGTTAAATTTATGTCCCTTTTATTTCCTCATGTTATTGCTTAATGGCCTTGCTAATATAACACTTTTGTTCTTGTTAATAGGTCTGCTCAAACAAGTGTTTGCAATCTAGGAGTTGTCTGCCACACTATTCTTGTTTTCTGGTACTTAGCAGTACATTAGGAATCTTTAAGACTCCTGCATTTAAAAAATATAAGTGTTCACTTAAAAACATTTAAACCCAGATCTAACTTTTAAACTTTAACTGATTTTTAGTCAAAGAACTGTATCTCCAGTAGCTCTTAATGAAATTGAAATATTGATAAAGTTACAACTATAGGACAACACAGAAGCTGTACAGCTGAAGTAGAACACAAAAACTAAAAGTTTCCACTCTGCACCTCCTGCCTACCCAGACAAGGTTGGTGGTTTGCTTATATTTCATTAATTTACTTTTTTTTCCCCCTGTTTGGTTCCCCCCCCCCCCCCCCATTCCCCACTCCCTGTAAATGGCATTTTCCATAGCTTTTCTTTATTTACTTTTTTCCTATGGCTTCATCCATCTCATTTTACTGTCAGCTCAGATGGGAGGTTTTTGTCCTAATAGCTTTTAAATTATAAAATTAGACTGATTGCACTGGGTCTTTTCATGTTCTCCTTTTCCTCTCTTGGGTGTGGGTTTCCCAGCATACTACCTTTAGGATTTCTGAGAGTTGTGTTGCAAAACAATACAGTTTAGTTGTAAGTCTCAAAGTAACCTGGCTTATAGTGCATTTTATTTACACAAGGAGAAACAAACATCCAAATGATCTTTATCTCTGTCTCGAGTCCAACCCGTGTTAGCCATTTGTATGGTTAAAAGCACCCAGTGTTGTTTTTTCCTTTTCCAGAAACGCCTCAGTGACACTCTGGAGAAATCTGTCTTCCTTAAGATAACCCGGTACGCTTCTGGACACAGCGTTCTGCTGAGTTTGGGAATAATACTAGGAACAAATGTTCTGTTCCATTTCTGGGCTTCTCACAGCAGTGCTGGAGAAGGCAGAGAGCATCCAGCCAGACTAAGCGTTGGTTCCCTCTCCCAGGGAGAGCTGTAGTAAACAGACAAAAATGAGCACTAAACTCATTGTAGGAAAGCATGAATCATATGTTTTCCATCTTCAATGAAGAAAACCCTTCTTGTCTGAAGAAATGAAGGAACTAATAAACTGCAGATGTGAAACCAAGCATTCAGAAAGCGTACTTATATGCAGGATTGATGAAATAGTTATTTTACAGAAGCAGTTGATCCAGGTTATGACTGAAGGCCAAAAAGGACTGTTAGCTTATCTAGGGCAAGTAGCTAGCAGGCTGTGACCTACACCCAGCTTTCTGGAGAGTTCTGTCTGGTTCACCAGATAGGTTTGGAAGCTGCTGAGTGCATGCATTACACACCCAGGTCTCCCACCATGTTGTCCCACGTAAAGGCCAAAGGATTCACCCAGGGAGGTGCAGAATCTAGTTAGCTATGATATGGCCCTTTGTGGTAGTATTAAAACAAGTCTTATGAAATCAACTGCACATTCCTGTAGTGATATTAATCATTTGCAAGAAATTTATCTATATCAGACAACTCGACATGTCTCCATTGTACAATGACTTGTTCTGTGCATGAAAAGCCTTTACTGTTATGCCCAGAGCAAGCCAGATGTGTGCTATTACACAACAGAAACATATTTCTGCAAAGCCTCTTTGATATGTATGCCTAGTGGAACAATACCAGTGACTCTTTATAGAGGTTTGAAGGAAAATAACCATGGGTTGTGCCTCTGACAGAGAGCTATTCTGGTAATCCTCCTCTATACTATTTCAAGAAGGAAGGGAAGATATAAGGATTTAATGGAAGCCAAAACATTTCTTGTAACTCAGTTGTGTAAAAACACAATTGACAACTGTAACATGCTGAACAGGGTGTGTGTTTGTATCTACCCAGTGTTACCTGCTGCCCTACAAGCTCCACGAAAAATCTGATTGCCTTTGTGCAAGTTTTGTGTTTGTGACCCCATGAAGATCAGCTGACCAGTGAAGTTAGGGAGATCAGTGTGCGGTGAGTGCTGCAGGAGAGGGTGGTTGAATTCTGGTGTTCTTATCCAAACATTTTCCCATATTTTATTTTAAATATCTGAAGAAGAAGAAGCAAGTCTAAGGAATTAAGTGTCCATCAGTCTTAAAACCACAGTGATTTGGATTCTTCAGAATGATGAGAAGCATACCTCGAAGAATTGCATGGTGGTTTACTGCTTAAATAACAATAGGGTGAAGTACTTTGCTATCTTTTCCTCCTATCCCAGAATATAGAATCATAGAATTATAGAGTAGGTTGGGTTGGAAGGGTCATTTAAAGGTCATCTAGTCCATCTCCCAGAAAAAATTCAGCAGGCCTTGGCTAGGTCAGTATTTGTCTGGGAAACTTCTTAAGGAAAACCTTTGTTAGAAAGTAGCCTGTGTTACTTGTTAAAATACATACATACCGTGGCATTTTTGTATGTGTATGCGTTCTGCATCATGAATAGAAATAACATACACACTGTTTATAAAGATTTCATATATGTAGATACTACCGCTTCAGATGTAACCCAGATTTTCACAAGAAAATCTGTAACCTGATTTGAAAAAGTGGTTTTGGGGGGGTTTTTTGATAAGCAGCAGTGAACATAGCACATCAAGACATGAAATGTGGTGGTTTTTTATCTCTTTTTCATAATCCATGGAAATCTAGAGGGTCTGAAAAGGATTAAAGCTAAACTGGAAAAAAAGGCTTTGACCTAGCCCACTGTCAGTGCTGCAGTTCTATGTAATACACTTTCAGAAACACTAGCAGATAATCTAAAATTACTCCTTCTTTCAGGCCACATAATCTTCCTAGAAAACCATAGACCTATGGACCATATTATTGCTGGGACAAATTATGTCTGACTGATAAGTGCATAAAATTTTCACTGTAGATGAAAGTTTACTTCAGAAGCTGGGGACAATCAGAGAAACGTCCCACATGCAGTTAAGATAATGTCAAGAGCAATGAAAAGCTGGAAAGTAAGGCAACCTGGAAATGATTCTTCACAGTATCTAGGGGAAGACTTTTTCCTTCAAGAAGTATTTTCTTTCTGGCACAGCCTTGCATCAATAGAGTGCATCTTCCATCCGTGCAAGACCATGTGTGCTACGTGGCACATTGACTGCAACTGTGCATATTATAACAGCAGCTTCAGTACTGCCTTTGCAGGCGCACAGATGGAGCAGCTATCAAAGCACACATGGTCCTGTAGGAGCATCCAGCCTCTGTTCTGTTGTTTAAGTTCTTAACAGCAGCCTCATGCATGATCCACACCATAAGCCTCAAGCAGTGCCTGAGCTGCTGACTGCACAGCGTTTTGCCTGAACCATGGAGAATGAAGTCCTGCATTTGGCTTCAGCACAACTAGATGTTTGAAATCCCAGGTGGTCCTTTAATTATGCATTTTGTAATTTACCTTGAGAACATGTTAGAGAGTCAAAAAACAATATATCATTAACTTAAAACCTTTACAAGCAATACATCATTAAATCTCTGCAAAAAGGGGAATGTAATTGAAAAAGCATTTATTTTTAATTATCACTGTTATTACAGTCATGGGATCACTTATGCATTTAGCTTTTTGGTCTGTCTCTCCTTCTGAATGCCTGCTAGCTCTGTTGGAGACAATGTTCTGCAGCTTTATTGCCATGGTTTTTGAAGTGCTACAAGTTTTTTCACATCACATTCATATTTTGTTTCCTCTTCCTGAGGCTTTACAGGAAATCTGGCAGTGATTGTGATGCAGAGTCAGCACAAATGTCTGCTTTGTTTTTCTTTGTTTATTTTCCTTTTTTTTTTTCAGACAAGAAAAAGTTGCAGTTTAGAGGCCTGCATGAAATGCTGAAGGTCAAAGACAGTTGTGGAAGCTGCTCAACTCTTCCACCATGAGACACTGATTCTGGGCTCTATGGGGGATACCACCAACTCCTTACGTCCAATTCTTAAAGACTTTTATTTGCCTGATATGTAAATAATATAAGGCATGCATGAGTAATGTTTTGAACATGTCTCCTGCCAAGAGACAACCATTAAAAAAGTGAAAATAGAGGTCAGCTAGAGATGAGGACTTAACCAAAATAAAATGCCAACCTGGTACTCACCTCTCCTGTAGTACAAAAATCCTTACAAATGAGCAGCCATGAAAGCTTTTGTTGACTGGAGAGATGTTGAGGCATAACATAATGACTATTTCTTGTCAGGACCAGGACTCACTTTTCTAGTTCCACAAGCTGAACCAGCACTTTCGGAAGGGGCTGTGGAGACTCAAAAGTGGGTGTTGCTGTTACTGCCTGTAATTAGAGAACATGCTATGAAGCCCATTCAGTGTGAATTCTCAGACAAGCCAGGAGGTCCATCTGAGCACATGTGAACATACAAAACAAGGGAATCTCACAGCAGCAGCCAGTAGTGGCTGCCTGAATTTTGCAGGGCAGATTTTTTTGTGTCTTTTCAGTGATGTGGGGTAGTGCAGTGGCTTGTGCAGGTGACTTCCAAAGGTGTCCTCAGGCAAAATGTCATCATATCTTCTCTGCTCTCACTTATCTTTCTTTCAAACGCTGAGTTATTTCCTTTGTGTTGCATTCTGCACCCTTCCTTATGGAATGCTGTTACAGTTCCACTATGATTTTGACTTTTCCCTTAACCAGCCAAACCCTAGGAGACCAAAGTTGTAGGAAAAATAGGAAGATTGACAGTGTAAAGGCAGCTCAGATATAACAGTCTCCAATCTTTGCTGGCCCATTGTGAGCATAATAAAGTAATAATACTCTATAGTCAAGATTTTACTTTTTCTTCATTGTTACCTTCAAGAACAGCATCTGCAGAAAGTAAAATGTAGGACTGTAATGTCAGATTAGGGACTTCTGTTATACATACGTCATTCAAAACACACCAAAAGAAATGTGTGTTAGTTATGACTAATTTTCAACAGAAATGTGAACTCTTTAGGAGAATAGGAAATACTTGGAAATACAAAGCTGGTGACTTTAATTTTTTTGACCAGTTAATATGAAGTTACTACAGCTACATCATATCTAGTATTAAAACTATTCCAATCTATTGAATCAGTGAGAATGTAGCACTTCCAGGATGTGTGCAGTTATCCAGCTGGCTATAAGCATAGCTGTTACAGTCTGAGTGTGGGTTGTAGATACCAAATAGCTGTATAGCAGTAACTGGACTGTGGCTGCTGAATGTTTAATGAAGTACTGTCTGCTGAAGGCACAGCTTGTAAGCCAGTACAGCTTTGTTAACAGAAATAAAATCTAGGCAGGGCTGAATACTAGTCACTATTGCTGACTTTTAAATAATGGAACTGAGAAGCAACAGGAAAGGTGTTACTGTGAGATAGCTGGTATGAGCTCCTCCTCACATATCAAATGATGTTTCATGATAGAAATCAGATAAAGATCTGACTCTTCCAGACTTCTACCAGCATTAAAAGATCAGAAGGAGACAACCAGTCTGTTCAGGCTTTGATTGTTGCAAGCATATGTATTAGCACAGCTCTCCCTCTGCTTTTATGTATAACACATATAATAAACAGTTCAGTTCTTCTACCAGTCCTCAGAAGGCCAGTATTGGCTTACAATATTTCTTTATCTACAGAGACCATATGAGATCTTGTGTTTGGAGTTTATTATTGTGCTAGGAGGCCCCTTTTTCTGTGAAATGGTTTTGACTCATGTGGGAGTAGATGGCTGTCAGCCTCAGCTTTCTATGTGCTGCTGCAGCAAAGTATATTTTAAGTAAAAACTGTCCCTTAGACTTACCTACTTTTTTATTTAATCTGCAAGTTGTTTCAGGAGTTCACAATTTACTTAGAGTGTTTTGATGCTGAAGTGGTAGCTGCTTTTGAACTTCTGGGATGTTCAGAACAGTAGGAAGTGGTTGATTTAGCCAGATGTACCTTCATTGTACATGGTGTCACACTCACATACTCTTGTCCTAAGAAGGGCACACAAGACTTTTTCCACAGTTCAGCATTCTAGGACTATGCTATCTGAAAAGTCTCAGCAACAGATAACCTCGAATATCATGTATTTGAAGCCATAATTATTTTAGTTTGTCAGACTCCATTTAATGTAAAACAATCTCCACCATGCACTGGCGTATCTGAATCTGTCCCTAAGCCATCTTAACATTTCTTTCAGACCATGATGTTCGCAGCCACTGCTGTACTCTCAGGAAAATAAAGCAATGTAGAGCCACAAAAATAAATTTAACCAAAAGTATGCAATCCACTTTTTAATTATAATTCAACAGTTCTTGAAAGAGAACTTTTTTATACAAATCCCTCTTATTCATTAGCTGGACCCACTTTTCACTTCAGTTTTCTTGTATTTTACAAATAAGCAAAGAACAGACTTGAACTTCCTCTAAGGTTCACTGTATATTGTCACTGAATCCCATGTACTGTGATGTTGTGACTTCCATTCCATGGGTAGGGTTCAATGCAGTGAACTGTTTGCATGACCTGTTACCAATCATTAACAAGAACTTGCTCGTACAGGTATTTCTGGTGAGAAGCATTTCTAGTCACCTGGAATGAACTGCTGTGGATTTAGCTGATGAATCATTTTCATTCCCATTTTCTAAAGAGAGTTATTTGGTATAAAGACTTTAATGGGAATTGTATGTATTGCTGAAGTTATGGTAATAGTTACACTCTCTTGAAGACTTGCTCTGTAACATAAAGAGAATGCAGAAAAAAGCCCAAGGTTTTGTTTAACTTACTTTGTATTCATTGGTCCAGATCCTTAATCACTTTAGTTATGCATTGACTCAAGGCACCATATTGGAAAGCCTAAAGCTGCCTGCTGGATTCCTGGTGCAACTGTATTATTCCTGTAGGAGGGACCACTTATCATTGTGTGGGGTATGAGATGCATATAGGAGACCTGTACAGATACCCTGCTTTAGGCATTGCATGGTTACATTTGTTTCTTCCTGATTTACTATCCCCAACAGTAGGAGCCTAAGCAGAATCACACCAAACTAAAGAAATTTTCAGTTTTCTTCTGTAGGTCACAGGACTGCCAAGTAGTAACTGAATACACTGAAAAATACAAAAATACAGAAGATATTGTACAGCTATGATCTTCTTAACCATCTATTGGGTATCATCACCTAATTTGTCCTTCCTTCAATTGGTAAGAGGCCCATTGGTTTTAGGCCCACTGAGGTGACATGGAGAACTTGCAGGCAGATAGAGTGATTGCAGGATAAATGCAAGGAATAAACAGAGCCAATAAGGAACACAGAATACATGTAGGTGTTCAGCAACTAGGGTCAGTTTGCATTTGTAATCTGTGTAGTGGTTATGACTTAAGACACATCTGATAAAACTCCATGTTTCCCTTGCTAATTACAGTGTGCTTCAGATTGGTTTAAAGAGAGAAAGATACTTCATTATTATGATGGAATTTCCAAACAGAAAAATAAAATGTTTATCTAACAGAACAGAACTCCATTAAGTCTCACATTGTTTTTAAGCAGACAATTGGATGTATCATCTATTCCTTCATTCACTGAAACAATCTCCAGGCTTGTGTCAGAGGATGTCAGCTTTTGTTGCTTCCTTTGAATTCGGAGAAGCATGCATTTATTTATCTGACGCTAACCCAGATCTCACATGACGGGAGCACGAGACCAGTATTGCACCATGACCCTTTCCTCTGGAGTTACTTTAACAAATGAACTTTTGGTTCTGATTATTTTGCTGTATTTACTTTAATGTATCTTCTTATTCTTCACTTAAATTACACTTTTATTTACAGCATTTATCAAGAGCTTAAGGCCTCATAAATAAGTGGAAACTTGCTTATGTAGCCATTAAAGTAAACCTCCACTGAGTTGACTCAGTGACACTGTTATAAAATGAGGGGACATGAGGAGAATCAGTAGAGACTTAAGATCTGTCACTGGACTTTGAATTCCCTGTTTGTGACATCCTTCAGTCACAAGAGCAAAACAGATGCTGAAGTTCTAAGGTCTTATGATAAAATTCGAGCTGGATATCTGTCCTGTCATTATTTGCAAATGTTGCATATCGCTCCAGCAGACATTACCAGCATACAGTTACTGACAGCCTCGTAATTCCATATCCATTTGATTTTTTTTAAGAAACGTATACATTACCAATCTAGATAACAGAAATTACGAACATCAGTTAATTTCCAAGGTCACTGATATTTCTGTGCTGTGATGCTTTGAACAGTTTGAAACATGTCAAAAAGGGGGATCATTTATGTTCAGCAGGAAGGGAAACTGGCTGTTATTTCCACCAGGACCATTGCTCCTCCCAGATAGGAAAGTGAGTAGAAACAAGATGATAATTATAAATATTATTGTTTGAAATTGGAGACTTGTCCAGATTAGAGTTCATAACTACCTCCCGCAGTGAAATTGGAACATACTCAACAACAAAGAATATACTTGCAGTGGAAAGCAAAATTAGGATTTAAGACAACTATTCATTCAGAAGCTATGGACAAAGGGCTACAGAGGACTACAAATCTAAGAGGGGTTAATATAAGAACTGGAATGGTCAGACAATTTTAAAAGTAGTCTGTAATAATTTAACAATTGTTAACATCTTTATTCTACTGTTTGTAAAACAAAAAAAGTGTATTTTTTCCGCTCAGAAAGGGTAATGCATCAGACCCAAGTTTAAACCTATTTAGAGTTTATGAATTTCCAAAACTGATAAATTAGATCTATCTACACCCACAGCCAACATTATAAAATTCCCTAATATTTGCTTTAAGACAAAGGAACTTTTTTCCCTCAATGAATCTTGAAGCAGAACAGTGATTTAAGGTAAGGTGAATGTTATAAAACAAGATGCTTATGGCTTATCACTATGGATGTAGTTAAGCTCTCCTTAATATTATAAAAGTTATAGTAAAGATAAGGTAATAATAAATAATACAATAAACAGTATCTATCACCCCGGTGATAATTGCTAACAACAGCTGCTTCACATCTCTATAAGGGAACCAAGGGTCTCCAGGTGTCTCTGCATACTACATGGGACGAAATACCAGCTTCTCAGTAGTGACCAGTGTACATTTCCATCCTCAATCTGCTTTCCATAGCAAGGTAGCTGTTTTTTAAGTTAGCTTTTTCAGCTCAGTTTACTCCCTCTGGACCCTTTATTCTTCAGTGCTTGTGAGCTGCTAGTCTCAGCAGCCCTTAGTGCTGTTAGATATAGCTTGTAGGCTCAGCACTTATCAAGTCTTGTGCACGGCCCTCTCTACAAAGCTGAAAAAGAAATGGGAATGTGCTATTGCTCTGCATTTGGTAGTATCTCCATCTGTGTTGCAGCAATTGGCAGGAGACAGTATGTCGATCACTACTGAGCTGCACTTTATTCCTCACACTATAAATGGATCTGTACCTGCTTCATTTCTTTTTGTCTTTGTCAGTGCTTATTTAGGAATTGACAGATATGATGCATACCAAATACTTACTTCCAGCCAGACCTGCAGAGCTTTATTGGCACTGAAAATCAACACCCTATCTTGAGGCAGGAGGCCCAGCAAATAGTCTACCATTGTAATAGTAAAGGACATCATCACAGTTATGAGGGCTTGTTCCCAAACTGGCAAAGGATATAAGGATGTGTTTCCCTAACAATATCAGGAATGTGAGCACATTCTACCCTTTAAAAAAATTCAGTCCCATTCTGATGTCTGTTTTCTGCAACATGTCCTCTGAGACTACTGAATAAAACTTCAGATCTTCCTTCCTTCCTTCCACTTACTTGAGCATAGGACTCCTACAGGAAAACCCCCAAGGTTGCAGTTTCATTTCACACACCCAACCAGAAGCATAAAGCTCATCTGTGCAGGAGACAGTCTCAGGCCATAGAACTAAGCAATATAAATCTCACCACCTTAAACTCTGAGCACGCTGTATTTTTAAACATTTCTTTTTCTATAAACACACATAACATGTACATTGAAGGCGATGAAACTCAAGCAAACTGCTGCCAAAATAAAACACTCCATGCATAAACAATTCTCTCACTAAGGAAGGAGAATAAGGAAACAGTTTAACCTGAGTGTCTACACAGCTTTCAGTGATCCGGGGTATTAAGAAATCATGACAGAGTAATACAGAGTTAAGAGGCTGTTGCCAGTTGGTAGAGCTTCATGGCTTTCACGTAGCTACACTGATTTCAATGGCTGAAGATCAGGGCTCTAAGCTTCAACCAAAGTTGTTAAACTGACAGGTCCTCTAGAAACCAGTTTTAAGGCTGAGACATAATCAAGAGCAGCTGGGCAAAAGGAGCTCTGTACTGCACATGCCCTCAGACAGGGCATGCCATTCTCTAAGGCAAATACCAGATAAAGAACATGGGAGAAAAACCTGCTAGCTCAGCATTTTTATAAATAGAGAAGTACCTTCCCCCCCTCACTGTGGTTACCACTGTGTTAGGGAAGTAATGAGTCCTTGCCCCACGCCCCTCCTCTGACTGTACCACTAACTCCTGCTGGCTGGGGAGACCAACAAAATACATACGCTGATATTCAAAGTCCTTGTATTAAAAATACCTCGCTGTTCTGCAGCAGGAACGGTTTTCCATGTGGAATTAGTTAACAGGAAAGTATTTTGGCTACTTTTGCTAAAGGGGTTTGCTTTGCTTGCAAGGTCATGCAGAATGAGCTCCCTGAACTTTGAACCGTATCTGCGAAGTGAGATAAACAAGAGCAGTATAAATACCACAGCCCTTCTCCCCATACAGTTTTCTTCTGCAGCAGCATTAAGCAGAGCTGCCAAGGAGGGGGAGGAGGAGCGGGTAAGTGTGCTGGTTTTGCTGTGAAATAACTCCATGACTTAAGGTTTGGCAGCGTGTCTGCTTGTTGCTTTGGCTGAAAGGGCTGACTGTTGAAATTCCCATTGGAAACCAACTAGGGAGTTGAAATGTGAAGGGAAGTATAATTCAGAATCTCGCTCATGGGGTGAGACAGCTGTTGCTGGGTGCTCTATGCTAGTGCTGCAGAAGGCCATAAAGACATAGAGGGATCTCAAGATGTCACAGGAGTTTTGTGTGTTTATAATGGCTGTAAAGGGCGGCAGATTTCCAGATGTGTGGAAAGAGTGAAAAACTGCCTGTGTTGCTATCTGTTGGACCACAGTTGAATCTTGAAAGTGCTGCACCTAAAATGCTTTTGGGACAACTTCAGGAAAGAAACATTAGGGACAGACAGATGTCACAAATGATATTGGCTCTGCAGCAGCTGGCTCTTGTTTTAAAAAATTATTAAAATGTTGGATTTTTTTTTAGAATATAACAAGACTGATGTAAGCACAAGTGTTATTTATCAGAAATCAGTATTTCCAAAACATTCTGTGTTTACTGTGAGACTTTGATGCAAGTGGTGAAATTATCAGCTTTGCAACCTAGGACATCTTGGGAAGCAGTTTTATATTTCATATATTTCTCAATAATGAGATTTTTTTATGAACATACTAAGCCAAAATTACTAGTTAATGGAATAAAAGGAAAAGGTAACTGCGGGGTTTCTCATATGCTTTGATTTTCATAAACATTTTGTAAATCCCCACTAAGTGTGGGTAGAAGATTTTGTGAGGTGTGAGGAATCCTGAAACTCTGTTTTCACTCCTGTTTTTGCAAAATTGTTTCTAGTGCCTGAGTCCTTCCGAGATTTTTCTCGATGGTACCCAAATGCCACAGACTGAATTGTAAAAATCTGTAAGCTTTTTTTTCCTTATAAACTTCTGCCAGGTTCTGTAGTTCTGTGCACCACATCAGCCTGTTGATGCAAGTAACTTTTAAGTCAGTGGAACTACTCTGGAATCTGGAGTGAACTAGTCTAGATTCATAGTAGCATAAACAGGCTTAGCAAAACTGATTTTGAAACACAAGTAGTAGGGCCACTTTCCAATCATGGAAATGTTAAAAGCAGTCAAGAAAAAAGTTACGAAGAGGGAAAAAAGCATAGTCTGAATAGTGGCATTAAAAGAAAATCCAGTCATCCTGAACACTTACTTTTCAGATGTTTATGTACAACAACAATAAAAAAATACTACGTAATTATTATTGGGGAATTCCATTGCAAATAGAGAAAGAAGATACAACATCAAGCAGGAAACAGAGAAGCTGAATTAATTTTATTTTACTTTTTTTAACTGGATTGAATTAATTTTACTTCACTTTTTTTTTCCTCTGTGTTTTGTTATGAAAAGAGCCTGAGCTTCTTCTCATTTTGTTTATTTTTTCTCTTTTCAGACAAAGCCCAGCCATGTGGGCAGGGCTGGGGCTACTTCTGGCTCTCTGTCTCCTCCCAGGGGAAGGAACAGAGAGCCAGTACTGCAAGGAGCCCCCAGAATGGCATATTGGGGAGGAAAACCCAATGCTGAACTCTAGGGGGTCGGTGACAGTGGTGGCTCTCCTCCAAGCTAGCTGATACTTGTGTGTGCTGCAGGCTTCAAGGTAAGAGTAAATATTTTTCCTGGGTTTTGTTAAAACATGAACTGGTCAATGTTTTAATGCCATCTGAGGATAACACGTGTCCAACTATATACGTATGCACTCCATACTGTAGCTTCCTCAAATACTGCCATCCTAGCTGGCATGTAGGACCCAGTGACCAGGTTAACTCTCAGCAGTCGTGTTCTGTGCCAGTTGCTCAGATTCTTTCTCTCTTGACTTAGTCCTGACTGACAGATAGTCTCTCCAGATTGTCTTTACACAGAAGT